TCGTCCAACCACCTGTACAAACAAAAACAAAAACAACAGAATAGCAAAGAGAAAAGATTTGTACGAGTACGACATTGGTCTAGACAGAGACAAACTTAATAATAATAATAGATCTGATAATATTAATAATAATAATGATAATAATAATAATAATAATAAATGTCTGAAGATAAGAGTATATTTCTAAAGTGAAAAAAAAGAATAAGAAGAACTAAAAGTTAAGATGACCTATTGTGTCTTCTGGTATTGCCAAAGAGGCCAGTATCGAACAGAGAAAAGTTTGATACATATTTGAATTTGAGTTTGAACATTCAAAAGCTCCAACTTCCACTTGTGAATGTGCACATCTTGCAGGGGTTTCTCTTGGTTTTATCTCAACGGTTCAGTTCCAGAAACCTGTATGCCACATTCGTCTAAAAATCGACTTTTTTGCCTCCCCATGGGTGCTAGTTTTAGTAAGTGTTTTACGACACTTGCAACACAATAAGGTCATATAAGTACCGAAGATTAGAGGTGCTACAAGAGAGTAACAAACACGAAAAAGAAAGAGAGGAGATAAGGACGATTGAAGTTTGACAGGAAAGAAGAAGAAAACCACAACAGAACACCCACCAACCATCCATCAACCACCCAAGGCTGCACATCTTTCTCCACCACATATATTTTTTCCAATGCAAGGATCAGACTGTAAATAACTTATTTACAGTCCAATCCTCACATCAAAAAGATATGTGAACGAAGAAGACGGATCTGCAGCCACAGGGGGAAAAAAAGTCGATTTTAGAAAAATGTGGCATACTGGTTTCTTGAACTGAACGGTCAATCTGTCTATGAATTATGCTCATTATAAGCCGAGATTGACAAAACGGCCACTCCATGATACGTGTACGTACACCGACACTATTTTTGAGTAAATTACAAAGTGTCAGTGGATAACTATCGATTTTAAATCTTTTTAAAAAGTGACGTGCTAAAACAAAATGGTCAGGATGGTTGTCTTTTTGTGTGCGTGTAAAGAGAAGCTTTTAACTTTAAGTAATAGTAATAGAGTTTTATAGCATCATTTGCAACACTATAAGTGCCGAAAATTAGGTGTAACAAGAGAGTGACAAGCACAAAAAAAAGGAGAGATAAGGACGATAGATGTGTGAAAGGAAAAGCAGAGCAAACAACAACAGAGCACATGCCAACTTAACCATCCACTTGTATGTGTTTACGTAAAGAGAAGCACATCGCTGAAATAATGGTCATTTTGTGCTGGTCATTAACAACAGTTTGCGGACGATAGCATGCACCTTTAGTCATCTCCCACAATAAGATAAAAGTGTGAAGGAAAACTGGGCGTGGAACAAACAAAATCGTCACAGAAAAGGTTACACATCTGTGACCAAAACTGTGCACAGTTGAATCGTTTTCCACTTTTTCCATTATTTTCCTTTCCACTCTCTGAAGACGGATATATATTTATCCAACATTGGGTAGCTGTTTGGAGGTAGGCTTAATCTATACAGTGGCGGTACTTTTTAGTTTTTATAAAAGTTTTATTGCACTTGCTACACAATTAAAGGTCACATATGATGTGCCGAAGATAAGAGGTGTGGAACTAGAGAGTAACAGGCTAGAAGAAAAATAGGAGAGATAAAGACAATAGATGTTTGATAGAAAAGAAAACAAAGAACAAACCACCACACCAGAGCACCTGCCAACCACCTAATGTTGCAGTACAACAAAGAAGAGAAAGAATATATAGCTGCTACAAAAATTTGCACATCAAAGCGTACGTCGAACATCACGTGTCAAGATGCTGTCCACTCAAGACTGTGCAATGTTCCTCCTAAAATGCACCATATTTGTGTCACGACGTGGTGGAATCAGGCACTCATCAATTTTGGGACATTTGGAGTTATTGGTATATTACCTTGAAGCCTAAATTGTCTATCTTTTGATGAAAAAAAAAAATTTTTAGTCTTAGTAGAAGTTTTATGGCACTCGCAACTGCATATGGTCATATGAGCAAAATATGAATCTATCTTGAATAGACTTTGCTTGACAGTCCTGGAAATCTGAAAATTTAATTTTTTTGTGCCTTTAGTTTTAGTCAACGCTTTTCAGAAAAACCCTCACAAAAATGTGTTTTTGAACAGACATAAAATGTGTTGAGCCAAAAAAACAAAGATAAGATTAAAATTGCCACACCGACAAAAAAACGCTGATACCTCCGATTTCATTATTTCGACTAACGTCTCATTTCACCACGATGCCTCACATATATGGGGATCTAATCTTTAACTGTTCTACAATAGCTCTGAATGGAGTTTTACAGTAAAACTAAAGAATGGTTCGAAATCCTAAAAATAGTATGAATCAATCACGTAGTTTCATTTTGAAGAAAGGGACCGCAAAAAATACTGGGAATGCTCACCGTTCAGGCTTGCAAAATTTGGGCTCAGTGAATGTTGAAAAGCATGACGGAGGGGTTTCAGTGCTGCACAAACGTCCTAACTTTCTCAAAATTCTAAATATAGAAGCCAACCTCACTACAAGACCACGATATAATTAATTAAAAACCAAGAACACAAAAGCCAAAAAAACTGTCACTGCCACCACTGTTAGAGAAATTGGAACAATCAAACTCCTCACTTTATCCCACAGCACGATATCAAGACATTCAGTAGAAGAAAGTATAAGTTGTAAGTTTTAAACATTTTTACAATTAAATACCCCCCCCCCCCCCCCCCCACTGAGCCGACTTAATTAAGAAATCAACAGTTTAGATTCCACGGGAGGTGACCTGCCGACCAGAGCTAAAACAAACCCAGGCTGTGTACAAGGGAAGCACATCCCACCGAAGACATCTAATAGACATGATGTTCAAACTTTCAACAAGTTTTCTTTCCAAAATCCAACTCATATATATATAAAATTCACGGATACGGTCAAGAGCCGTAACCATTTCACTGCAGAGGGGTAAAAAAAAAAAAAAAGGAATAAAAAAATAAACCCAGTATTACGTAATTTATTCTGCAAACCTGCAAATGAAATATGCGCATTCATCAAAAATTTCGATAAGTATGGTACAGTTCACTACGCTTGTAGCAATGTCATTGGGGGACCAGAAAAAAAGATCGCTACATCCGAAGTTCACAACAGTTCAGCCGTTGGAAGAAAAATTCAAGGGAAATAACCCCAGCGCTCAACCTCACTGTAGTTGTTCCTCATGGCGCTAGGTGAAGTGAGAGAGAGGCAGGATCGTGTTCGCTTCATCGCTTATCAAAAAAGGGTAATTAATAGTCTAGTATCATGTGGGAGATTGCTCGCTAAGACTGTCTGATGCCTCCAACTATTGTGTGAATGTGCGTAACCTTACAAAACATCATCGGGTTCAGCAATGCAAGGTCAAAACTAACCACGGGGGAAACATCGTCTAAAAAATTTAAATATTTTTACTATAGACTATGGGCCGGGGATAAGAGTACGCCTTACTACAACCGTCACGACGGATGTATTGAATTCGGTACAACCGGTTTCAATTTTATAGAGCTAGTGTTACATCGGTGCCCGTTCCATGGAAAAAGATCGCTACGTCCAAAGATCTTTACAGCCGACTTCGCTACAAGTGGAGCGGACTGTATATCCCAGTTACCACAGACAATGTTCACAAAATCATGCTCATTAGTGGAATAATGAAGTCTTTGCAAATTAAACAGAGAAGCCACATCAGGTACCTGATTCCTACAGCCCAAAATGGACAAACAAAATGATCAGCACCAGACAATGGTCGAGACATTGAGATAGTCTCTCACAATGCTTGCCAATCAACAATAAAAAAAAAAAAAAAGATAAAAAATCAGGCAGTAAATGCAGGATAAAAGGATTTGCCCTTCCACAGTTCTTACAATTAGTAAGATATTTTTAGTTCAGTGAGAATTTTACGACACTTGCAACACAATTAGGTCATATGTTGTGCTGAAGATTACAAGTATCACTAGATAGTAACTAATTACCAAAAACAGAAAAAAATTAGGAGAAAAAGCAAAACAAGGAGAGACAAGGACAATAGATGTTTGATAGAAAAGACATAGCAACGCACATCAGGGCACCCACCGACTACCCATTTACAATTACAAGACTTTCACTAAAGAATAAAAACCTTTTCAACCCAACTGGTAAGCTGAGATGACGAAAATAATCCAAAAGTTGTAGAGTACTTTTATGGCTTTACTCACTTTTCTTGAGTAAACCTGATCAAAATAGCGAAAAAAAAAAAAAAAGTACTATTTTGGATACTTAACTGATTCCAACTTCATCAATAAAAAAAAAGACATACTTCAATTATAGCATCCTGTGATCAGAACCAATTTGTGTTATGATATAGGGGTGGAATTGGGCGCTCGTCAATTTTTGGACATGTGGCGTTACTGGTACAATCTTAACACCCAGTCATTCGCCTTGTTTTTTATGAAAAAATCCCCATCTGTCAAGAACAAAAGTCGAGATATTTGCGATAGAAGGAGATGCCAAAGCTCGGTGACTTCCAACATTCTAGTGTCCCTGGAAACTGGAAATTTACTTTAGGCGCGCCCTTGACAAACATTCTTCAGTGAAATCCGTACCGGAATGTGTTTGCAAACGGACATAAAAGATGAGGCCGTAACAAACAAAAATTGATAACAATTGCTAAATAATGGGCACGAAAATGTCAATTTCTTTGATTTCATTATTTTGACCAGCGCCCAATTTCACCACAATTCCACACATTTGCCCTCATATAAAACATGGCACACTGTCAGAAGAAAAAAAAAAGAAAGAAAGAAAAGAAAAAACTACTATAAATGTTGCAAGAAACAAAACCCTCTGCAAACACATTGCACACTGAGGTGCACAGTATGAGTATGGTGTAGTCCTTCACACCCCCCCCCCCCACATCTACAGCAAGATTAACTGCTGGAATGGAAACCTATATAAATTAACACACTAAAAGATAAGAAGTCTTTTTCAAAATCTGATCTTCCCACATAAATCATCATTGCAAAGATATGACTATCAGAGGCTGCTTTTTCCACTGCAGTAGTAGTAGTAGTAGAAGTGGCAGTGTTGGTGTGTTGAAATACCTGAATGATTATATTATTACAAAAACAGAGCTCCTACTTTTAGTTTGAGCCATACAAAAACATTGATTATAATATACAGTGGAGTGCACTTAAACCGAAATCTGCAGGACTGTAGAGTTAGGACGAAATTTCACTTTTTGAAAGTTTTTTCCCTTCCTCCCATCTGCCTCTTTTAGTAGCAACTGCAATTTGAGCTGTTGGCTGTAACTATAAGCTTTCGATGAATGTGCCCAACAGTGGCACAGAAGAGACAAATGACAGAGCAGACCAGCACACTGTACTGTGCTCAGCACTAGTCTAGAGAAGTGAGAAATCTTAACGCTAGTGACATCACGAATCACAGTCACACCACATGCTGTCACGTGCTCATATGAAGGGCTACGTGCACGAACTTTACAGAGAAAAAATAGGCCATGACCAACTGAAGGTCGTGCAATACACGGACATTGGCTATCGGTGCTTCACTAGTAGGCCTGTACACACAGTTTGTAGGCCCACTAATGTGTGTGACAAACATAGGCAGACAGCACACAGTAGGCAGTGCTTCTCTCTGGGCCTCAATCAGTACATGCGTTCTCATATCTCTCTAGCTATCTTGAAGCATGTAAGAATTGATGATTTACACCATGCGAGGGTGGTTAGTGAAGATTTAACCAACATAACCCTTGATATTATTTTCGTCATTTAAAAATGGGAGCTTTTCAACTTAATGATAAGTTTCCTTACAAAGACAAAGAGGGGGGGAGGGGGGGGGGAATTGAGGATAGTATTTTCTTTCAGTTTACTGCTGTTATTAGATTAATCATATTCGGTTTAAGCGTACTCCACTGCTGTTTTTAAATGAAGAGGTCAGTGAAGATGTTCCATGACCTGTTTTTACCATTTTACATTGGTACAGTACATCCCTCCCATATTTGATGTCTTCACCGCTGGCTCAGTTCCTTTCAGAGGGTACTTCGGTTTCTCCCTCCATTAATGGAACGCTCTAGCAAGATAAACATTTTACTTTCGAACCTTGAGCTGATTTCAGTTTGACTTTCAACAACAGCACGACTTGGTGTGATTTTCACTTCCAGCTTTGAAAAAATATTATATCTTCTCATAACCCCATCCCTGCCATATTCGAGGGGCTATCCTTGGCTCTTTGGTAAAGCTGAAGGGCCCGTCACAGCTTTTCAGCAGACCTTCAGGTTCTAGAGCTCAATGACATAAATTACTCTGCCCTGTTGAAAACTATTTTTTAAATTCTAGATTTTGATCATCTGACCGGGTACGACTTCTCAAAACAGCCGGGATCCCTTCCATTACTCGTATATATGGCGTAAATGGATACTGGCTTTCAAGTTGCTACGGATTTATTTTTGTTGAAAATTCACATTGAAGTGTGAAACTTACAACTTGCCATAGACGGCTATATTTCAGAAACTGCACTGTTGAGCCAAGTAGGCAAATGCTTTCTGCCATTATTTTTCAGGGACACAAGAATTACCAGGAAAGCAGTTTGCAAACTATAAATTTGTTTCCATACTTGCCATTCTTGCTTTTTAACTGAATTACTGCCTTGTGCTTTTGAAAACATGACTTGGCATGATAATAGCAGACTTTAAGGGATTGAATGTTCCTTAAATGAGCCAGACAGGGCTGGAAACGACTATAAAAAAAGAGAAAACCCATGGTTAAAAAAGACTCAAGGCTGCAACAGGGTAAAGACCTCCTCCCCAAAGTGACTATGTACATGGGCCTCAAAATCCTGCTGGCTCATCTCCTGGCTGAACTTCCCGTTACACATCGGGCAGGTGCGGTCCAGTGACACTTCTGGCCTCATGGTCTCCGGCGTGTTCTCGTCGTCGAAGCACTCGAAGACGTGCGTCTGGAAGTCCTCCATGCTCACCTCGCTGTAGTCCTTGCTGCACACCGGACAGATCCGGTCAGAGTTCAGGTGCGCTCGCGGCGGCTCCACCGCCGACTCGAAGCTGCCCCCGTTAAATGCCACAGCAGGCGAGGCCCCAATAGGAGGGCCGTCTCTGTTTCCCGTCCGACCACCTCCGCCTGATGCGGGTGTGGGGCCACTGAGCCACTCTTGTAATTTCTGACCGTTGTCAAGTCCCGAGTGAGAAGGTGGTCTCTGATCACTCACAGCAGAGGATGAGCCAGGCGTCGCCGCCATCAGACCGCCACTCTTCATGTCCACATTGGCCAGGCGTAGAGACGAGGCGTTGTCCGCAAACAGCATGGGTGGTCGGTAGATGTGCTGTTGCTGCGCCGATGGATGAGACCCCTGAGGCACACCTCCCGCGTGGTTACCAACAGCAGAAGCATGAGGGTCCTGGCTACTGGCTGTTTGCACGGCTGAGCTCACGTTGTGTCTTGGTGAGGGGACACCCTGCTCTTGCTCCGGGAGCATCATCGCCCCCTCATAGGCCACAGGGGAGTGACCAGACAAGCCAGCCACTGCGAGGGCGCTCTTTCCCGCCCCTGTGGCCTGAAACTGACCTATGCCACCACTGCCACCGCCACCAGGAGCAGAACCTTGTTGGTATCCATATCCTGAAGTGGAGCTGTACAACCAGTTAGGAAAATTCTTGCCCTCAGTCGCCAGTTTGTTCTGGTTCCGTTGAAGTATGTCCGACTTGCTGCCGCCGTGATTAATGTTCAAACCTTGGTCGGGGCTCTGGCGGTACGCGAGAATCTCCGAGGATATTTTCCTCCCCGAAGGAACAGCCAGAAGAGTGTCCGTCGTTCCATTCACATTCACGTTCTGCGCCACGCTGCTGGCGCTGCTTTGGGGCACGACCCCACTCCCCCCGGAAATGCGGCCCAGCTGAGCTGCCTGAGCAGCCTGACTCTGCTCTCTCGTAGAGGCCGTCGTTTTCGTCGGCTGCATTTTCATATTGTGACTGGAGCCCATCGGCGAGCTGACCGGTGAACTCCCCTGCAGTTGCCGTTGCACATGAGCCCCAGGTCCTGAAGTAGCCAGCGGAGCCGTGCCAGTGAAAGACTTGGGGACGTTTTGTTCCCCCTGGGCCGAGCTGATCGGGTCAGCCAGAGCGCGGTGGCTCCCTCCTGCAGTGGACCTCGCCTCCATGACAGGCATACCATTCGCCCTGAGCTGCTGGGTGTCGCCCTGACCAGAAAACATTGAAAGAACGGACGAGGCTGCTTTCGATGAGTTTGGAACCATCGGCGAGCCTATTTGTTGGTACTCTGACCCGAGGGCTGCAGACGCCGACTTGGACATGGCCGCCACCTGATCCCTGGTCAGTTGCAGGCCCAGGTGAGAGGTGTTGTCGTGGAGACCGTTCAGCGCAGGTCTTCTCGTCTGCCCGCTGAACGACTGCTGCGGTACTTCTGCGAGACAAATACAAAGACAAGTTTGATTTTCACAGCTTATTTATCATCAGTCGAGTGGTCACTTTCAAAAAGTGGTATACGAAAAAAAAGGGAAATTGATTCTTACAAGGGAGGCTACTGAATTGTGTTGTTTAGTTTAGTACATGTTTTTTACGGCACTGGCAGCACAATTAGGTCATATAGTGCTGATGATTAGAGGTGGTACTACAGAGGAACATACAAAGAAAAGAAAGAGGAGAGATAAGGACAATAGATGTTTGACAGGAAAGAAGGAACAATCTTCACCAGAGCACCCACCAACCACCCACAAGTGGGTTTTTTTTTTTTTTTTGGTAAGTGTTTTAGGGCGCTCGCAACAGCATAAAGTCATATGAGCGTGCGGGACACTCCTAATACTTTTAGTTGGTAGGAAATTTTGAATTTTGCCTGGGTGGCGGCCGAAGCCTTCTCTTATCGATTTCAGACCACCAAGGGATCTTTAACGTGCGCAACTTACACGGGCCCTACAAGATTTTACGCCCTTGTCCGAGAAGGCTAGGTGTAGATCTTTCCTACCAGAAGATCAGGGGTGTGGCAGACAGACAGCTGTAAGAAGGAGTCAAGGAGTAGCAGTAGAAAGGCTGCAGAAAGAGTCAGGAGCCCAGAGGAGGGGGCAAAGGAGGTGCGGGGGTGGGGGCAGAAAGAGGAGACGAAAGCAGACGACAGAATATTGCGAGAGAGCAGGAAAGGAGGTGACAGCAGACAATTTTAGAGAAGAAAATTTTTCGGTTGCTACCCGGATTCGAACCCAGGACCTTTGGATGAGAGGCCAACACCTTAACCTCTAGGCCACGAGAGCCCCCTCACAAGTGTTTATTTGAGAAGTAAAACTGAACCATAACTCAAACACAGGGACAGGTGACTATATATAGTACATCTGTTTGTAACACCAGAATTTTTGGGCAAAAGGAGTTATTGGTATGATCTTAAAGCCAGTTCATTTTCCTTGCTTTGGTGAAAAAATCTCACATGTATCTAATAAAAAAGTCGAGATACTTGTGATGGAAGGAAGTGGTGGTCACCTGATATCAGAGGTAAAATTTAGAGAGAAAATGGCCGCCAAATTTTGGTGATTTCGAAAGCTGTAATGTTCTTGGAAACGGCAAATTTACATCTTTTTGTGCCTTTGATCCATGGTTTTCAGCAAAATCCACGCAGGAACTTGTTTTTAATTTAAATGAACATAAAAGGTGTTGAGTTCAAAACAAAATTATAGATGAAAATTGGTCAGTGGATGGAAAAAAATGTCGTTTTCTTTGATTTAATTATTTAGACGAGTCCCTGAATTCACCACAATGCAACTCATAATATAATAACGAACACACATACATCAAGTGGGACAGAGTCAGGTGCAGTGTATGTAATAAAGCTCTCCAATTCTTATAGCCTTATCCGGGACAGTTAGAAAGACTGTGGTGTGTGAAACTAAGAAAATAGGAGGTAGGGCTTTTTCAACAGCTGCTCCCTCACTGTGGAGTTTCCTCCCACTGCACTTGTGTGTGTCTGTGTGTGTCTGTGTGTGTGTGTGTGTGTGTGTGTGTGTGTGTGTGTGTGTGTGTGTGTGTGTGTGTGTGTGTGTGTGTGTGTGTGTGTGCGTGCGCGCGTGCGTGTGTGTATGGATGTACACGTGTGAGTGTGTGTGTGTGTGTGCAATAATGAAATCTAATAATTTATCAATTTAAATCAATAATATAAGTAAATAAATAAAAAATATGTACACATAAAAACATAAATAAATAAATAAGTAAATAAACAAACTACTCTTCATTGATCCCCATGGGGAAATCTGGGTTACAACGGCAAACCTACATACATACACACACAAAAATATATAAAATACACATGATTAAATCCGCAAATATCATACCAAAACAAACACAATACTGCACCAACGCTGGTGAACGCCAGCTGCCACTTACTCATGCTGACCAGGAAGTTCCTCTGCTCCAGCACCGTCGTCTTGAGCATATCCACTACGCTGTGCAGGTACTCCAGCTCCTGGCTGCACGCAGAGTTGCCGGACATGGGAGACTGACTGCTGCCCGGACCCGAGTTAGACGTGAGCTCTCGGAGACCTTTGTTCTCCTGGGAGAGACGAAGTGACGATTCCTATGGGGGGAGGGGGGAGATTGACGATCGATGTTTGTTTTAATAATAATAATAAAGAATAATAATAATAAATAGCATTTGTATGGGGCATATCCCCACTCGACAGCAAGCTCTATGCGCTTTATACTCTATTATATTACCCCAGCAGACTATAGAGCACTCAGAAACATTCTCTGTTTCCTGCAAAGCATACAGTGGAAGCAGCTGATTAAGCACTCAAACACTAACAAATTGACAAGATCTTTCACTGTCTATAGCTGGATACCCATTCCCACCTGGGTGAAGTGAGGAAATTTGTGTAAAGTTCCTTTACCAAGAACATGTCGGGTTCCTTACCGGATTCGAACCCACAACCTTACGGTTGCAAGTCTAAGAGTCCACTAACGCCACAATCATTCATTACAAATCATTCACTCTAAATAAAAATGTGGGCGTTTTTCATCCATCACTGACACAGTTTAGATTATTTAAAAGGTGGGCTTCCAACCCTGTCTGTCAGGGTCAAATCATTCTGAGAGGGATACAGTATCCCAGCAGAAGAACAGAGATATTTGACAAAACCTATCTTCTGGAGAGGGATACAGTATCCCAGCAGAAAAACAGAGATACTTGACAAAATCTATCTTCCTGAGAGGGATACAGTATCCCAGCAGAAGAACAGAGATACTTGACAAAATCTATCTTCCTGAGAGGGATACAGTATCCCAGCAGAAGAACAGAGATACTTGACAAAATCTATCTTCACTAAGGAATCAAAGTTGGCCATCCTGGTCGCAACAGTTAACTCTTTAACCCAAGAGTTTTTTCTACCGTCTCCCACAGTCTTTTTCTACAGTCACCTAAACCAAGTGCACTATATGTCTCATTATAACCCCAAAAGCTTGCCTCCAACTTCTAAATAGCGGAAACAAAGGCTTAGTCATTACTAAAAAACTTGGTTCGGAAATATCTCAGAAAAACAAGCAAAAACTAGCACTAAATAAAACGAAACAGTTGTCACTGGTACTGGACGCTCCCAGCGCCCGATGGGGTTCAAAGAGTTAAGTGTCTAACTGCTACACCAAAGACACCAGTTCATCAACTCAGAAAACCTGGAGAGCTCAAAACACTGCTATTCGTGGCCCCTTCTTATTGTCTTTCAGCCACACCTGTAATCTTAAAAGTAGGTTGAACAGTAAGCCTTCTTAGATTTTAAGAGGGCAAAAAAAATCTTGTATGTCCTAAGTGCAATTTGTGAACGTTAAAGACCCTACGATGGTCCTAAAATTGATAAGAGTAGGCCTTAATTGTCATCCAGGAAAAATTCGAAATTCGGAGGGGGGGAGGGGAGGGGGAGGGGAGGGCGGAGGGGGGAGGAAGAGGAGGAGGAGGGGGAGGAAAAGGAGAAGGAGGGGGGAGGAAGAGGAGGAGGAGGGGGAGGAAAAGGAGAAGGAGGGGGCGGGGGAGGGGGAGGGGGAGGAGGAGGAGGAGGAGAAAAGAAGAAGAAGAAGAAGAACAAGAAGAACAAGAAGAAGAACAAGAACAAGAAGAAAACAAGGACAAAAAGAAAAACAAAAAAAACAAAAAGAAAAAGAATCAGTCACCTACAAAAAAAACCCCAAAAAACACAGCTACACCCACCTTGAGCACCAGGAACTGCGAGCGAAGCGAGGTCACCTCCTCTTGCAGCTTGGCCGCCTGGCTCTGGCAGCGCTCATGCCGGCTCTCTGTGTCCAGTTCCTGCATGGTCAGTCGCAGCTTCTGCTGCAGCTCCAGGTAACCGGCGTTGAGCTTGCTCAGCTCTTGCCGCAGGCTCTCGTTCTCCTGCAGCGCCTTGGCCAGCTGGCCAGAGGTCAGACGGCACTCGTCGACCGCCTTGTCCCGCTCCTTCATCGCCTCAGTGGCTCTGGAGATGATATAGTTTCCAGTTTTTGTAAAACATTTTTTTTACAGCACTTGCATCACAAGTAGGTCATATAAGTTATAAGCACTGAAGAATAGAAGTGTCACTTCAGAGTTTAACTGTATATTACTATGCAAAGTAGAAAATAATCAATTCAACCACACAAACAATATTGCTGATTCTGAGGTAGGACTGAGCCAAATAGGAAGACAATAGATGTTTGATAGGAAAGAAACAAATCCCACTAGAGCACCCACTACATTTAACCTAATTTTATCTAAATGTGTTTGACCACTGTATATTACTATGCAAAGTAGAGAAATTATCAATTCAATCACACAAACAATACTGCTGGATCTGAGGTAGGACAGAGTCAAATAGGCAGAGAACCTTGACAACCGCAGAACTTCTGTTGGCCAGAATGACACGCTCCATGTCGTTTCCGTTTACCCCCTTTCACCAGAACAACACAAAGTGTCAAAGTTTAATTACCCCTGACTAAATACACATTTCCGTCCAATCCTCCAAGTCCTTGTTCATAATATTGGTCAAATTAAAAATAGAAACAATAATACTTCCCACCTTAGGGAGAATTTGAAGATTGGAGGCATATTTTTTCAAGCAGCAGAGCATTGTATCACCAACAATTTTGGATATAGAATCCAAGTCACTTTCGAAATCAAGACTGTTGATCAAATCCCACTACAATACCAAAAATCTATGGATGGAATTTCCGTAACTAAACCTCTGAAAGTGAAAGTATCTTTCACTATAACACAAAAAAGTGGGACATTTTTTTAAAAAACGTTTATATATTAAACCACCAAACAAAAATTAAACCAAACTAGTCAGATGAAATCCTGCACACAAAAAAAAGAATTCACTGAAGAATTAAAGAAAGAGCTCATGAAGGGAAGAAATTGCGAGGTAAATGTCCAGTATCATACCTTTGGCCCCAGCCCTCTGCCTTGTACATATTGGCCTGTAGAACGGTCACCTGACGCTGCAGGTACTTCATGCGAGCGTCCTTGACATTCTCCCCAACGCTCTCGCTCGAGGGTGATCCCGTGGCACCTGTTCAGTGTTAAAAAGAGTTTTATGGCACTTGCGACACAATTAAGTTGTATAAATGTCGAAGAATACAGGTGTTAAAAGAGAGTAACAAACAGAACAAAAAGAGGAGAGATATAAGAACAACATATGTGAGAAAAGAAAGAAGGAGGTTTAAACACATCATAGGAGGACTTTGATCTTTAACACAATAGACATCAGGAAAAGACTCTCTCTCTCTCTCTCTCTCTCTCTCTCTCTCTCTCTCTCTCTCTCTCTCTCTCTCTCTCTCCATGGAACAACAAAGCTATTTTTTCTTGATACTCGAACAACAAATTAGATGCCCGCATACCCTTAGCACAGCAATCCACAGCAAAGGATTTCAACCATCATGCATTGCTTTCAACTGCCACTACAGTTGCGACAAAACTGACGATAGTCTTGCTGCCACTAAATTTGTGGAATACATCTCTCCTCGATAAAAATCAAAATATTAATAAATAAATTCCACTTTATTGATTCCCCCCCCCCCCCCCACACACACACACACACACACACACACACACACACACGGGTGAAAGCACTGACAGGTACAAAAACCTGAAATCCGATATTGAGAAACGTCGTCAGATAAACACACATTCCATCTAGATACATGTTAGTACATGTAGACAGGTACTTTCATCAATGGATTCCTTTGAAAACAATCCCTCCAACCGGATTCTGGGTCCGCAAAACAGGAATGTGCTATTCCTGGATGTTAATTTTTTCCACAGATGTATTTTATTTTTATCACAATCCCACTGAGACACACATTTTTTAAAAAGAGCCGTGTCACTGTCACAGTCCACATTTTTTAAACTACAACTGTGAATTCTTGCTAAATAAGAGTTCAGCAATGGTGCATGGCACTTGTGCACACATTGTTTGGGACTGTAGGTAGGGCTGTTGCAGTTGATGGTGAAATCGGCTGGACATAGAAATCTTTTCGTTATGTACGAATTTTGCGATGGACAAATTCTAGGCTGCACCAAGGAAGATAACCAAGTTGGACAATCAGGTCAAAATTTACATGAATTATGCCTCCTGATGCAAAACCTGCGCGTGTGATGGATTGATGGCGATTTAATTTTTAAATGTTAATGCTGTAGTCCTTAGTCTTAACTGAAATAATTTGCCTTGATATAGAAATAGCTATAGTCGGCCCATTTTTAAACCAACGAAACACTGCTTGTTCCACTGCCCTCTACTTCATCAGTTTATGCCTTTTCCTCCGTTTCAGCATTATAATTCTCAATCCAATGTATTTTCCGGTGGGGGGGGGGGGGGGGTTCTTTGGTTTGGAATCTCAAACGTGTTGCAGATTAGTTCTTTTATTTAGATCTAAATTGATTTTTCATCCACCTCTGCTAGGATCAGCCGTCTGTCCTCAACCGAGAAGTCTTTGTTCGTTTCTTTTGCTCCGCTATGGCTCACTCTCTTCTACAACAACTTCACCTAGACCTAACTGCACCGAACATCGGCAAGCTGCTGGGTAGTGAGTAGTCTCTATTGAAGAGAAAGTGCTGACACACGTGGCGGCAATAGGGCCCTACCGGCTACGTGCCTTCACAAGCAGACTCTCAGCTCGCATGTCTAAACCAAATCTGCCACTCTATGAAATCTAAAAATGTGGATCTCAGGGGAAAAAATCGGGATCAATGACAAATCACAAAGGTGACTAGCCAGCTGATTAAAAAAATTTCCAGGGGTGTCCACAAATATATTATTTTCCATGTATAGGCCTTCTGCGCGCGCTGTGTGTGTGTTTTATTATTATTTTTTAATTCTGAAGTATCACGTCAAGGACTCCTTGTCCAAGACTCTACCCCCCCCCCCCTTCCCCCGTAAGCCTCGAAAGACGCTTCAACCAGTGTGCATGAACTTTAGTTGACCCCGTCAACGGACGGTCCCTGACACGCGCGAAACTCGCATGCCGAAGTCATGTCACGTGATGAGAACGCACGTTTGAAAGTTTTACTCACGGGTCTTGATGACGGGCCCGATTTAACAGAACTTGGAGTTGGAGAACGCTTGTTTTGAAAGTAGCAGCAGAACTATGAATAATATGGATCATTTGTGTGCCGCAATTGAAAGTTATCAGGCCATAATCGGAGATAGAATACACAGCAATTAAAGTGAGCAAGCCAGATCTAGATCTAAGTATACCGTTGAACACTCCAGTGTTGTATGAAACAAAAACGCCCTTGGCCTACACCCAGACTATACTACTCATACTGCCCCCGGCTTGGGCCTATTGAGAAACCAAAGGCCTTCACTCCTACTGTGCCCCTCTCTCTCTCTCTCTCTCCACGGCTTCATTGGTAAAACGAAATTTGCGGCCGTCTATAGGCCTGCATGTAATTAGATCTACTCTCGATGGCGCCGATTTTTTCCCTCGCTATGTAGGTACGAATTGTCAAGTCTTTGTTTTAATACACAGAATAATATTATAGGCTCCTCATCAAAATTCGGGACCTCAAATTATGTTTGCTACCTCTATTATTCTATGTGCATCTTATCTACATTTACGGAAAGAATGAATTTCCTTCTTTATTTTTTAAATAATAAATCACAATAATATTTAAAGCTTGACTGCGGATTTGTGCTTGTCCAAACGACCCACAGACATGAACCAAAGATGTCAAAACCAGCCACAATTTGCCAAATATGGCTAAACCTGGGCAAATCACAGAGCGGTCTTGCCAGATGAATAACATCGAGGTCATTGGCCTAGTGTTCACTGCGACATGGCATGTAAAGATCAAATTGGGTTATTTCTAGGCTTGCAACGCTCATTTTGGCCAGTAGAGCAAGCTGAGACAGACCAGCAACGTAACCAAAGAGCTAGAGACTGGATGGGGAGAATGGCAACTTCCGAAATGTACATAATGAAGTCGACAATTTGTCCCAAACCGGAAAAGTTGGAAAGCTTATTTTCAAAACCCGGAATTCCGGCATATGCTGGAAAACTTTCACCCATGCCCCCAAATTTCCCTGTCCAAGATGGTAAATACCGAAGACAGAAATTTTTTCTGGCTCCCTTGCTATTCCATCTGAGACAATTTTTACCGTGTATATATATATATATATATATA